GTGTATATATAGCAATGTAGATTGGTAAAAAACAAGAATAAACTAAAATCTTAAACCAAACATGCTGTCCTTGTTATTGAAGTCTAATTTCAAGATGCTCTGCAAATTAACAAATTCACAAACAAGTCATCCTAATAGAAATAATTTGTTCTCTACAACTTACTGTGTATATTTAAAAACCAGTCAAACGTGTTTTTGTCATACATTATGCTATCTATACACTTCAATTAAATATTTTGAATGAGAATTATAACTTAAACAAATTGCTAATAGAAGCCCAATTACTTTCCAAATTTACCGTGTAAATGAGAGAGAACTTTGAACTGGAATTGGTTGGGGGCAATTCCTATTGGGAAAGACCCCTTCAAAAATAGGCATATGCCGTTATTTGCGGCGAGCACACGGTATTCTTTAGTAAAAGGCGAAAGAATAGTTCGTTTTGTGCTCACCACACGGCTGCATGACCTCAGAGTTTACTGGGCTACTTACTTTATGGCCTCTCGTTCTCTCACCCCAATACTCAGTAAACGATGTGGGATTGGGACCAAACAAATTCCCAACAGCACAGCCCTCCAACAGTCCAACAGCATAAGCATTAACTCCACTAGCTGTATATATTTTGCCTTGTATCTATCACCATTTTTATACCTCCCTCGGTTTCATTTTTGATCGAAGAGTCCATATTATAAGATCTGATTTGTCAAGTTTCATCATGCATTTCTCCGGTGCCATAAATTAGCATTTAAACTTTCTTCTTGGACACGTAGGTGAGGGGATTCGATAGCCAGATTTTTTTATTTTGAATACGAGGTGCTCAGGTTCATGAATGTAAGTATGCCCTCCCTAACACCGGAAGTTGGTAATGTAACTCTCTCTTCTTGGACACATGGGTGAGGAACGACGGCAATGCGGGATCAGAAGTAGTCATCAAAAGATTCTACACGAAAACAAATCAACAATCTATTAAACTCACAAGTAAAATCAACTGCTTCCCTCAATGTAAGTATAGCTGTTTGAATATACTGTACAATATATACTGCAATTTTGTAGCAGAATAGTATTTTCTATAGTCTCTAATTTCTTGGTATTCATCATCAATCGTCAGGAATACCTAAAAACCTGTTAATGAATTTAGCAGCTTAGGCAACAAAAGCCTGAGTTAGGTGGATCATTTTTGGCCTACCCATCAATGGTTCGTGACCAGACACTTGCATGGAGTATATGACAATTCAATTCAAGGGCAGAATGCGAGCCACATAGTCAAGCCAACAATGAACTTATGCTCATTGCCAACACTATGCACTTGACCTTGTACTCCCCCTTGCCTATTACCAAAGTTGCGCTCTACCCTTTGTACCTCTTCTGTGGTGGTGCTCTCAATGAAGAATCCAAGTCTCAAAGCGAAGGCAGCACAGGTCTTCACTCCGAATTTATAAAAAAGGGACTCAAAAAGATTTCATTCTTTCCTTAGTTGACCCCTACTTCGTTCTCACATCTATTTTTGAAAGATCTTCATTCTTTTTTATTCACTTCTTTTGATTATCTTATTTTAGCTCCTATTTGGCAAAGCTTTTTTGAGAGTATAATATGATCAAACTACAATGTTAGTTACACATTTAGACTCTATTTTAGCCCTATTTTATGTAAACAATAAATAATTTTGTTTTAGTGATTTTTTTGGAGAATAGTTAAAAGTAGGAAAAAGTCTTACATTTACGAATAAAATTATTTTATTGAGAGAATGTGTCGTTAAAAATTAGTTTTTTGAGAATGAGCTCAAACATGAGCTTAATTGTACTCACAATTGTTAACCATTTTTTAACGATGTATTTCGTGGAATCCACCAACTTACAATTTCAATAACCTTTGTTAAGCGGGGGCTTAATTCATCGAGAAATTCATTTGCTACAAAAAGAGAATAACATAGTGCTTTATGTGGCTGATTTTTGGAGAACTTGTGATTAAAAAATAGTGTAAAATTATGAAAATGCGTAAAAAAATGATTTTTTTTGGAGAGTGTGTGATAAAATGAGTATGCGAATAAGTGATTTTAAAAATTACTCCACACAAGGGCTTAATTGCTACATTTTTAATTGGTTGACACCCATCCATAAATTTGCACATTTCCCCAAACACCAGCGCATGTTAGCAGTGACCCCCATCCATAACTCAGGGGCTCTTTGAAAGTTTTGGATTACCAATTATAAGCTTTTTTTCAAAAGAGAATAACCTATGCTCGAAAGTTTATTATGCACCAATTTTATTTTTTTTAATAATAAAGTAATATAGGGGCTAATCGTTCTTTGCTCACATAAGCTTTGATGAACCTGCAGGAGTCTCCATAGATATGCCCTTCGGTTAAAATTTCGATTTATAACTTATTGTATGAATTTTTTTTTACTCTTATGTTTTACTTCTAACTCTTTTTTATATATAAGTTAATATTTTATTTTAAAAGTTAAGTGTTTAATTCTAAGTTATTATTTTTTACTTCTAAGTAAATTTTACAATTATAAGTTCATTTTGTACTTTTAAATACTTTTTAAAAATTTGTAAATTTTTACTTAGTAACTTTTTATATTTTATGAGTAATTTTTTGCCTTATTAGTAGTATTTTTTTTTATTTTATAAGTAATTTTTGATGTTGATTGAAATAATTATTTTATAAATGATAAAATTTGAAGAAAATATGAGATTAACCAAAAGAGTTTTGCTAGTTGTACATTCGAGTTTACATCCTGAATGATAGCCTCTCACAAGAGGAGGCTGCGATTTTTTTATTCCACGAGGTACGAACCCCAATGTATACCAAGCAAAATTCCAACCAAAATATACTGATTTCATGGGTTAAGAAATACGATCAAAATTGTACGAGATATGCTACATGTACACTCTTGGTGTACAGCATTGTTGACACTCCTCTCACAACATGGGTTGGTCCCCCCCATAAATAAAATAATCGCGGGACCCACTATGTGAGAGGAGTGTAAAAGTGAGTGTATACCAAGAGTGTATACTTACCATTTCTCAAATTGTATTACATCAAGTCAAAGCAAAGCTTTGATTTTCTATTGAGCAATAGAGTAATAGTTAGGTCATGTTTGATAGTCATTCTTTTTTCTAGAACTAGGAAAATATTTTCAATTTCCATGCAAAGTAGGTGTTTGATAGGAAAAATTTTGCCAATAAAACATTCCCCCAACCTACCCACGTGTCTATTTATCTCAATTTTGGTGAAAATGCTTTCCCACCAATCCAAGCTGGCAATTTTTTTTTTCTTTTTTGTAATGGTAACAAATTTCATAACCAATTATTAAAAAAAATTCACTTTAATGAAAAATTTTCATATAAAACAAAGTCAAACGAACACTAAACTTTGATGAAAAAATAGTTTTCGAGCAAAAAAAAATTTTTTTTTTTTTACTTTTTGAGAATGTTAACAAATTTCATAACTAATTGTAAAAAAAATTCATTTTAATAGATAATTTTTATGTAAAATAAAGCCAAACGTTAAAAAATCCAAAATTTCAAAAAATTTCCGGATGGAAAATTATACCAATCAAATACACTTGAAATTATTTTCCCTATAAAATATTTTTTAGACAAATCTTTTCCCTATAAAACATTTTATTTCAACCTTACAATCAAACGCACCCTTAAAGTAAGTATTCATTATTCAACAGCCCCCAAAGAAATTCTTTTTATATACATTCAAATCATTGTCGATCACATTTATTGATCCATAGTAAGTACCGATTTTCTCACCCATGGTATATCACCCAAAATTGGTCAAAATGAATCCCAAGCGCGCCCTTAGCCGGTACTGTTCTATAAAAGCGCAGTGGAAATAATTTCCGACGCCACTATTTCCCTCTTCTCCTTTTCAAAACCCCAGTCCCGTCCACCACTCACACACAGTGCAAAAAGCAAAATCCGATTCCCACCAGATCCCTCCTCCATCTCAATCGAGACCCCAGTTGGATTTGAATTTCCCACAGGAATAGGAAAATGCCAAGGGAAATAATTACGTTGCAAGTGGGGCAATGCGGGAACCAGATCGGAATGGAGTTCTGGAAACAGCTATGCCTAGAACACGGCATTAGCAAAGAAGGCATTCTCGAAGACTTCGCCACTCAGGTGCGAACCTCCCTCTCTCTCTTTCTCTCTCTCTCTCTCTCTCTCTCTCTCTCTCTCTGTATTTGTGTATAATTTCTCCATTTATCTAGAGTTGTTATATGCTTGTAATTGGTGGAGAAAGTTGAAACGGAAAGATATTATAGGAATAGGGGAACTTTTTGAATTTTGGGATTGATGACATTGCAGTACAAATGTGCGATGCTTAACTGCTTTACGTTTTGTGTCCAGTATGCATATATTTGTATCTGTGTTACTGTGTATGATTTTTCGTTTTTGTAGAGGGGTTTTCTTATGTTCTATTTGGTGGAAAATATATTAACGCTTCAAATTTTGTATTTTTTTTTTTGTCCTTTCTGGTTGCAAACTGATTTTTTCCTGTTTGGTCATTGTGTAAAATTATAGAAGGAAAAGGAGCTACAGGAGGATGTTTTGGATTTTTGGGTGGGTTGGTGAAGCCCAATAGCAAACTGTGGTGATTCACCTATCAAAAGTTGAACCCATCTTAGTATCCCTTGTATTTCGTTGTAGCTAATTTAGTTATTAAGCGTACTATTCAGAAAGTGCAAGTTGGAACTTAAAGGGAAAGAAAGCAATATAATAAAGGCAAAGTTTCAATTATTCCGGAAAGGGAAGAACAGGAGAACAGAGAGAATCATTTTAAATCTACACTAATTTCATGCTCCCATCTCTCAGCAAAGATTCATTTGTAGATTTAAAATGATTCTCTCTGTTCTCCTGTTCTTCCCTTTCCGGAATAATTGAAACTTTGCCTTTTAATCTACAAATGAATCTTTGCTGAGAGATGGGAGCATGAAATTAGTGTTGAGGAAAAACCAACGTATAGTGGGAACTTTGAAGAGGCGTACCTTTATGGCTTGCTTGGGAGTTTCGGCGTACCAATCATGAGCATTTTTTAAAGTATTGGTTTTGAGCATTTATGAATGGATCGTTTGAATGGTTTTAGTTGCGGTTTCTAAAATTGTCCAACCCATACTTGAGAGTTTGTTATCCACTGATTCTGAAAGTTTTTTAAAATAATAAAATTACATATATATTCTTTAGTAAAATTTTCAGTTTATAATTTTTTATATGAAATTTTTTTCTTATAAATGTTATTTTACACATATATAATTTTTTTACATATAAGTTAATATATTTAATATAAAAAATTAAATAAAGTTAAATATTTACTTAAAATTTTAAGTTAACATTTTTATTTATAAGTAGATTTTATAATTATAAGTTAATTTTATACTTTTAAATAATTTTAAGTGATTTTTTTTTCATATATTTTATAAGTGAATTTTTGTCTTATTAGTAGTATTTTTATTTTATAAATAATTTTTTTTTCATAAAAGTGATTTTTTACTTGTAAGTAATTTTTTAATTATAATGAATTTTTCTTATCTTATAAATAATATTTTACTTAATAAGTATATTTTTAATATAATGTAATTTTTTTGCTTATAAATAATTTTTTAGTTAATATATTTTTATTTATAAGTTAGTTTTGAAGAATATGTTGATTAGAAATAATTATTTTATAGAGGGTAAAATTAGAAGAAAATACGAAAAACGGCCAAAACCCGTTGATTTGGTGGGTTGAGAAAATCGGTCAAACTTACGCTACACCGGTTTTGGATGGTTGGGTGGTTTTTAAATCATCCAAAACCGGTGCCTAAAAAAACTAGCAAACACCCTTTTTTTCAACCTCTCATAAGTGGTGCCACTCAAAATTGGTCAAAACCAGCGAAAAAAAGAACTCCCAAGCAGGCCCTTAATGCCATCTGATTCTGATGTCTCATTCCTTGCTAGTGGAAGCAGATATTAAGTATGCATTTCATCACGGTTGTATTCATGGAATCTGTATATGCAAACGAATGCATTAGTTTTTCATTAATTTGTTGTCATATACATATTGGTGCTGTGCACTGGTTACTTATATCTTGTCCCATAAGCGGAATTATCCCCATTAGCATTCAAATAAAAATTTCTTATTCTGTGTTAATAAAATGCTTGAAATGCTGCAGGGAGGTGACCGGAAAGATGTTTTTTTCTATCAAGCTGATGATCAACACTATATTCCACGGGCATTACTGATGGATTTGGAGCCCAGGGTGATTAATGGTATACAAAATGGGGAATACAGGAGTCTGTATAATCACGAGAATGTATTTATTGCAGATCATGGAGGCGGTGCTGGAAATAACTGGGCAAGTGGATATCACCAGGTCAGCATCAGTTCCTCTTTTGTAATTGGTGGTTGATATTATATATAGTTACCGTGACATGTTCTTTTTGGATTGTGAAAGTAAAATGATCGGACAAATAGTACAGATAATATTACTGAATTTCTGGTAAAACCTGTGCGTTTAAAGCTATATATGCTGCTATTGTTTATTGGCCCATTGTATTCGATATATTTAGTTAGATGATTGATGGCCTATTGCTCTTTGTGATAATATTTGAATTGTTTTCTGCTTGAAATCCTTACTGTTAAAGTAAAGTCGATATTCAAATGGGTTGTAAAGGGTATAAAAACTACAGCAATCTGCTCGATATTTATTTACTGGTAATCGGTATAGTACCCCTCTCAACAGTAGTAGAATTATCCCGCTCTTTGATATTTGCATTACACGTGTATACTAAATTCTTTCTCAACTCCCTTTAGTTAATATTTAATGGAGAAACCCTTGCTTTGTTGTAGTTTATATTTAGGGGTTGTTTGAGATAGCTTTTGATAAAAGATTTAGTAGATATTGATAAAAGATGATGAAATGTGTGGTTGAAAAGTTGTGGGTCCTATGAAATGTGTGGTTAAAATTAATTTTTGACTTTGACATCAACTTAGCAACTTTTTAAGCTTTCCCGAACAGGCACTTTGTAGATAAGCCTTTACTATCCCCTTGCATATTACATTGCAAACAATTCTCATTCTTTCCTTTTCTTTTGTCCCGTCTTTGTAATTGTTCCTTTTGGCATAATTATTTTCATTCAATCAGGGTAAGCAATATGAGGAGGATCTAATGGACATGATCGATAGAGAAGCGGATGGAAGTGATAGTCTTGAGGGTTTTGTTCTGTGCCATTCAATTGCTGGTGGAACAGGCTCAGGTTTTCCAAATCCTACCATGTTGTGCAACTTTTCTATTTAAATTCCAAAATATGAATATCCTGATTTATATTGATTTTGATAAGAATATGGCATTTTATTGTGATGTTGTAAGAAGGGATATGTTTACCTTCTCAAGTGAGCGATAAATTAAAATCAACTCAATCATAGCATTTGTGCAGTGACTTGTACTTGAATTCTTTTCCTCTTCAACTTCGACCACTGTACATCAACATATTAGTCCTGAGATATCCCTTGTCACTTTATGTTTAGTGTATTTTAACTGACACAATTGCTCTCTTGTCTTTGCTAAGTGATTTAACTTATTTGGGCCGGTAATTTATTGCTTTAACCAGGCATGGGATCATACCTATTGGAGACTCTAAACGATCGCTACAGCAAAAAACTCGTTCAAACATATAGTGTATTTCCCAACCAAAACGAGACAAGTGATGTAGTGGTACAACCATACAACTCCCTTCTAACGCTCAAGCGACTGACTTTGAATGCTGACTGCGTAGTTGTTCTTGATAATACTGCACTTAATAGGATTGCTGTGGAACGCCTTCACATCTCTACTCCTACTTTTGCCCAAACAAATTCGTTAGTTTCTACTGTCATGTCAGCAAGCACCACTACTTTGCGCTATCCAGGATACATGAACAATGATTTGGTTGGCCTTCTTGCTTCTCTGATCCCTACTCCTCGCTGTCATTTTCGAATGCCGGGATATACACCACTCACAGTGGTGCGACAAGTAAGCTTCTTATGACTGCTATTTTCTTCTCTGATCCCTACTCCTCGATGTCATTTTCTAATGACAGGATATACACCACTCACGGTGGAGCGCCAGGTAAGATTCTTATGAGTACGCTTCTTTAGGTGATGGACTTCTCTTTACTGAAAATTTAGTAAGACATGTCCTCATTTCCCTTTTGTTAGTTCAGGCTAGGGCCTTTTCTGTGCTTCATGCTATTGTTATTATAGGCCATGTTTGAGTCACCTTATTGTAGAATGAGAATGAAAAATATAGTCGTTATTGGGGCTCACACAAGAGATATAAAATTTGAATTTAAATGTTGACGTGATGGATAACGGTCATATTTTTCATTTTAATGAGAAAATAAGGTGGCCCAAACGGGGGCATAATTATTTTGGTCTTGAGTGTTGCAAGAGGAAGGGAAAATTACAACTCTATATCTGATGTTAATTACTCTCCGTCTCACAAATATGAGTATGCGAATTTAACAAATAGAAAAAATCATAACAGTTGGGCATGTCTTGAGTTCTCTCAAGAATGGAACTTGTAATACATGTGTTTTGACTTGAAATGCTAATGGCATTTGATGTTGAAAAATGTATTAATGTTAGATTGATTACTTTTAGATGGCTTCTTTTTTGTCTTTTTGTCTTCTGTGCTATTACTTTTAGGTTGATAGAAATTTCCATCGCAAGCATGCTATATTTGATTAGTGGAGCTCAATAGCTTAGGATTCTTTATGCGATGCAGTTCAATTAGCTTATTGGTATATGTGTTAGCATGTTGCCTTTTTCATGTAGCAGTTGAAGAAATTGATCTAGGTTTAATTCTCCCATGATAATCTTTCCATTTCTCTCTCTTTCACATGTGTGAGCATGCAAGATGTCTCTCCTGCTGATCCCCACCCAAGGGCATAAGCGCATGTGTTTTACATCTCATTGACATCAGCCACTATGATTTATCTTATTTAAGAAAAATTAATCAATCCAACTGATTGCTTTAATATGACAAAGTACAGTGTTCATGGATAATACTCGATATAATTGGATATATGTACATATACATAGCTCTATTTTTATTATGTGGCTTTGGTATCAAGCGATCTTATGAATTTGAAGCAGGCATTTTATATTTTAAATCTTCCCATATTTGGAAATATGAAGCGCACATTTATCTGATGTCAAAGCATCAAAACAATCGTAACTGTAAGCTAATGCATGGAAGAAATCTTTTGTTCAGGCTAATGTAATTCGCAAAACAACTGTACTAGATGTAATGAGAAGACTTCTTCAGGTAAGACAAGCTCTTAAAATTTATTTTACATGTATGGGGTGTATTCTTATGTTGTTTCGCTTTTCAGACAAAGAATATCATGGTTTCCTCTGCTCGAACAAAAGTAGCCAGTCAGGCAAAATACATATCAATATTGAACATTATTCAAGGAGAAGTGGATCCTACTCAGGTAATTATGGGATAATGCTCTATCCTTCTTAAATAGTCAGTAATCACATGTAATTTTGGATTCCAGAGGTCACTAATCACATGTAATTATGGGTTCAAGAATTCACTTTTGAAACACACGTGTTTATGCAAAGAATAGAGCATCTGTACTAGGATTTCATGTTTACCTTTCCATATAACTTAGTATCTGCGACGACGACCAATTGTAAATTGTAAATACCGTGACTTTTCCAAGTATATTCAGAAATTTCTTATTATAGTCATGCAACAATCCCTTGTACTCAAAATCTGGGTGAGGTGGAAACGGTGCACCATTAGTGCTATTTTTTGTTGTTAGGGGTTTCAGTTTGTTCAATAGTGCTGTTACTACTACGATGTCAATACCATAATTATCGTGCTTCTAAAAAAAAAAATTAAGCTAGCTTTACCTAGGTTTTGAATGTGCTACTTATCTCACAGGCTTAATCCCGTAGTAGAGCCTCATGGTGTCTTAACTATGCCTGATGTGTCCAAACAATTGAGTTAAGCCATTTATGATCAGGTAGTCTTTTATCTCGTAGGTTTACAACCAGTAGTGGAATTTATTACCTATTTCGTGCGAGAATCTACTATAATGAGTATACAACCACTAAATTGTTTTCCAGTAAGGGGTATAATGAGAAATGAGAAATATTACAATTGGATTTGGGTAGAAAGTAAGAGTTTGGGAAGATAGAATAGAACCGAGATGATTGTTTTAGGGTGAAGAGAGTACAGAAATTGATCGCCAGCTCATACTATACTACAGATCAGTTTGCCTCTATCTCAAAATTGATCAGCTGCTCATACTCTACTACAAATCAGTTTGCCTCTATCTCCATAATTTCATTTGAGTGGAATTACTTTACATATTGGCTCTTTGCTGAATTGTGATAATGATCTTGGAAATCAAGGTCCTGTCAGTTTTATCAGTGCCAGTGCTCTATTGATTTATTAACGTTCGGCTCTCTGAAACTAGGTTCATGAAAGTTTACAGAGAATACGCGAAAGAAAGCTTGTTAACTTTATTGAATGGGGCCCTGCCAGCATTCAGGCATGTCTAATCTTCTTTCAGTTTTTAGTTTGTATATGTATAATTTCTTTCCTTTGTTATACACTAAAATCTGTCTCTTCTTTTTTATAGGTTGCTTTATCTAGAAAGTCTCCTTATGTTCAGACTGCTCACAGGGTAAGATACTTCTTCACGTCCTTGGTAAATAATTCCTGTGGGTGGTCTAAAACATGTTTGGCTTCCTGTGACTGTCCTTGACTGACCCTGGGTAGTGGAGTTTTCAGTAAAAGGTGATAAAAGGGGGACTGTTGCATCATTTATGGTTCTTTTCTTATTTGCTTCTCTGGTGCTATCTAGTTAGTGCCGTAAAACTCAATAAAATGCATGCTCTTGAAGAGGTTTTAATTGAAAATAGCCGAGCCTGATAAATGCAAAAGTGAGCAAAACTTAGCTGAATTTTTTTCCCTTGTTCCAGCCCTTAGAGTATACTCGACCGTTTTCTTGAAGATTTTTTTGACAATAAGAATCATCATTCTTGTTTCTTTTCTTTCGCCTAGTTGCTTGTGAAGTTACTTTTAGATGATGAGGGTTCAAGTATTATAACAATCGAGTGTAATATGTGCTTTTTGTATTTGTTAGGTCAGTGGTCTCATGCTAGCAAGTCATACTGGTATCCGCCACTTATTCTCCAAGTGTTTGAGCCAGTACGAGAAGTTGAGGAAGAGACAAGCTTTTCTGGATAATTACAGGAATCATCCAACGTTTGCTGTAAGTTGTCTGCCTTGTGTCATTTCATATGTAATATGTTTTGTTTTGTGCATTACATTTCCTTCTTCATTTCTCTCTTTGTTAATTTGTTTTCTTCTTTTTTATTTTTAAAGAATTCATGTTGTATTAATCATCTCTACTTTCCTCACAACACTGTGAGACATTGAAATTACTGTACCAAAAAGTTCTTAGTAAGTCCTATATAAAAGTTAAGCAAGTTTTTGGTAGTTGAAATGGAGAACAAGATTTGCAAATTCATATTTTTGTCCCTTCGAAATTCATGTGCTACAATGGGCCATTATTCTGCCTGAAGTTGCAAGCACTGAGCTTTTGTTAAGTTTCCTGAATTCCGAATCATTTGGTATTTAGTCATTCCAATAACATGGGATTTAATATCTTAGTTGTATTGTAGAACTTAAATTTATGCTTGCATATCTTGTCTCACATTTAATGGTTTGTGAAACATATCCAGGATAATGATCTTTCAGAATTCGATGAATCTAGGGACATAATTGAGAGTCTTGTAGATGAGTACAAGGCTTGTGAATCCCCAGATTACATCAAGTGGGGAATGGAGGTAGCCTGCCGCACGTCTGATTTAATTTGTCTGTTAATCCTATTCTTTGTTGTAATGAGTTCATATGTTTTGGCAGGATCCTGACCATATTTTATCAGGGGAAGGAAATGCTACCGGATCAGTGGACCCTAAATTGGCATTGTGAATTAACCAAGGTATGTTGCATCACTTGAATGTTTTGTTTTTCCTTTGTTAGGTACTAATCTTTAAGCCTACACATGCAATAACAACCTAGGTTGGCTCAATTTAATGTTGATGCATACTGTATGACAAAAAGCAATGGATAAACACATAAAAGTACATGTGGAAGTCACTGGCTCACTGCAGATGAATTGCTATGAGTTATTTTATTTTTTATTTTTTTAATTTCACACCCTTCCCCCCAAATGAGCCTCGAACCCATTTCAAAAACCTGGTAAGGCTTCATTCTTACAACTTGAGTTAGACTTTGATCTCCTGCGAGATGCCATGAGTATCGAAGGAAACAATAATAATTGAAATGTGAACATTAAGTGAAGGTTGTCATCATCGACCGAGACATACTTTTTTATAATAATGAAATAAAAATTTGCTCTCTTCAATACGGAACATAACTTTGGTATTTTACGTGGATTCTGTTTTCCTACTAATATTACGATCCTCGTAGTAAATGAAAGGTGTTACCCATCCTTTATAAAATGCAAACACTTGAAACAAAAGCACGTGCTGTATTAAAGAAAAATAGTGAACTGGCTGATCAATATGGCAATGTGATGCCTCCTAAATTCCAAGTATAATAATCAATGGGACTTTAAAGAAACTTGTCGATAAGTAAAACCAAAAATTCAAAATTCATATGTTAAATAACTAAAGAAGAGACGAGAAAACTTGATCGGTGGCGTTGGGGTTTCTTTCTTTATTTCTTGATAATTGTAAATTTGTAATTGAATGAGGTTGGACATTAATGTACTGCAGTTTATACTCCAAAATACCTTTCTGATTGTTTATAGTGGAGATAGTGGGTTTTTAGTTTGTTTCTTCTTGCTAGAGCAAGAAATCTTACGTCCTTCAATTTTTCATCGCAGGTTTCAGTAAAGACGGCCGTAAAATAGAGGGTATTCAGATTTGAATCTTTCCTGTTGAACTTGGTTTGGTTTATGTTGGTGTGATGTGTCATTTGCTTAACCAATAACAAATGAATCCATTTGATGGGTGCAATTCTCATTGTGTATATTGATGTTGGCATTTCATCTTTCAACTATTATGTATTTTGTTACTTGGTAATTTTTGCTTTAGATCTCTCAGTATATCCAGCAAGGAATAAAAATGAATGGAAAAGTAAATCAGTGATCGATCCATTTGATGTGTGCAAATTCTCTCCCTCTTTATTTTATTTTATTTTTATTTTTATATTTTTGGGTTGTAATAATGCAACTTGGTGGAGCTAATTTTCCGGGAAAAAAATTGCATAAAAAAGTTTAGACGGAACAAAACCCAATGTGGAAAAGTAAATCAATTATCGATCGACCTGTTAGAAGCTACAGGATCGATTTTTTACATAGACTATTGGTGGGAGACCAAAGCTACAATTCTCTAAACCGTTACATTTAGGTTAATCGAATATAGCACGTAAAATTACTATAAGATGACACTTTAAATAATTTGCAGTTGTTAACGTGTTAATTAATAAATTGAAAAAAAAATGTTTACAGAAATTATTTTTATATTTATTGGGAGAAAGTAAACAAGTCATATTTTTGTTAAATAGAATAATTGCACTTTAGATATCAGTTTGAAAAACTTAAAAAATAAAATAATTGTGATTAATATTAAAGAATATATTAATTGGGAAGAAAAATTACAATATTCGTTCACAACCTATTATTATATATTAATCTCCACACTTTCGTATAGAGGGTAAGACTTTACTCAGTAATTACCCCATTTTGGGTGCTTCGAACGAAGTAGACAAACTCCTTCGAGGAAATTATAAAAGGGAAGGTGTTTTATGTGTAGAGGAGGGATTCCATTATTAACCTGTAGAGATTGTCGATCTTTTCAAGGTGTTGCGGTTTTGCATAATTGTGTTGTCACAATCTCTGAAAGCAATATTTGACTAGATGCCTTAAAATGTTTTTTGTGCAATTCTATTGAATTATTTTATCTAAAATCTTGATTCAGCACGTCACCCACGTGGCCCGATAAAAATATATATTTTCTTAGAAGGCTCAACAGATACACAATTTTTATAAATTGGTGGCAATAAAACTCGAATTTAGAATCTTTTGCTTTGGGTTTGTATAATTTCATCTAAAAGCTTAAGCTGTTAAAGAGATAACACATTTATTTATTTAATTTCGTCTTCAACAAATTCATTAGATGTCCTTTTGGCGCTGGAAATATGACCATAAATTTCTGGGGCCAAAACCATATGTACAGAAATCTGATTCAATCTGTTTTTTTTTGTTTTTTTTGCTATAGACAAATGAAAAATCGCCAAATGTGTATCTGCAAAAAAAAAAAATCTGTAAAGCAAATTCTATACACCTAGCATTGTTCAATTTTTGGTTGAGTAAATTGATTTTTCCCAAAAACAGTTGGATCCACTTATGGTACTTATGACATACTGAATGCCCAGCATATGCCTTTCTGGAATTGGTTTATCTCAATCCTCGATCCATTTATTCTGTAAAAACCTGCTACACTTACCGTCATTAGTGGGCTGTAGTTTTACAGTCCACTCTAATTAGTGTGGAATCTGCTAATTAATTAGTGGGTTGTATGAACATCATTTCTGTATTCAGTATTTGTCATTCTGCAGGTTTTTTTTTTATTATTCCAACTAATTCTTGTTTTACCATTTTACATGCTGCATACAAGCATTTTCTATTTGGCGATCTCAATACTGATTTTAATGTTCCTCCCTATGTTTTACCTGATAGATTATTTGTACCAAAGGTGCCGTTTTGGCCTCTGAATTCCCAAATCTTTACATGATATCAAGGAAAGAATCCAAGCATTTTTGCTCTNCGGGGCGGGGACAAATAACGGGCACCCCGCCCCTTTAAATTTTTTTTTTAAAATTCAATACTGTAAATGAAAAACTTCACAAAATTTCATTAATTCTAATAAAAAATAGCAACTAAAATTATTTGTCTAAATCTAATGAATATGGACAATAAAAAAAATTAACGGGTAACGGAGAGGGAAATTTCTTTGCGGGGCGGGGGTCCCGTCCAGTCCCGTCCAATCCCGTTGCTGTCCCTAATATAGCAGTTAGTTGCAAAATATTTTAGCAGTATTTCCAAATAGAGAAAGGCAAAGATTAATTGAAAATACACTCCTGAATCTCAGAAATTGCACCATCATTGAGGCAGTAAGGACAATTCAAAAGTTGCTAGTTCTCTTCCATAAATAGAATTGATCGTTTCAAATGAGTGTTTTTATATTACAGAAGATCACAAAATGAAATATGTTCTTGGCAATGAATAAGAGTAATATGGTGATGAATAGCATTCCTCGAGCAAAATACACCTTAGTGTCATGGACTGAAATAAGTATTTTTCAATTAGTTTGAATAAAATGTAATTTCTTAAATTAAATTTAACAAAATCATTAATAGTATTAAGCCCCTAAAAGCTAATTAAAATAAAAGATAAACAAAAATAATAAATATTTTTTGAGAGTAATAAAATTAATTGTTAAATATAAAGTGCTTTTTGGAGTATATCAAACACATCCCTGATGTCTTACTTTTCTTTTGATTTTAAGGATTATTCTTTTTTTATTTTATTTTATATTTGTTGTCTTACTATTTTCAATTTTTAAAAATGGTTTCTTTTTATTTTACTAGTGAGGGTTGAACGTGTTTTGTAAAAATAATATTTGATATCAATTTGTTAGGAAAATTTGATGAGTTTTTAAAGAACTAAAGAAAATAAAATTTAAGATAGAAATTTCAGAGAAGAAAATTGTATTCTCAAAACAAAACTTTTATTATTCAAATTATTTGTGACGATTAAATACTACAAATGAGTAATATTTTTATACTACATTTGATACATAAAAATTAATTGCTAATACATAAATTTAAACACCCATTAAAATTTCTAGATCAATATTCATTGAGTTTAAATTAATGTGAGTATTAATTAATTGAGAATTAATAACATGAAATTCATATATGACAAAGATTTTGTAGTATTTATTACATATTGAAAAATAACAATTAAAGTATTATTGAAATAATTGAATTGTAATAGAATTTAAATCGTCCAAAAAATTGGTTCTCACGTGATATTTAATTTATTATAGATGTTTAGACTTTATTTAAAAAATAAATTCAAACTTAAATTTAAGTTTAAATAAATAAATACATCTTGCAAATATTTGATTATATTCTTTTGCACACGTATACCTGAGTATGTATTTTGTTTCTATATACCTAAACAATTAGTAGGCAATGGCAACATCATCGTTCAAATCAACGACAAAGAGAACTACTATAGGTTCGAGCTCAGAGGACTCCGGTAACAACTCCGGCAAGTGGCTCCGCCGGTCGAGAAGTCTAAGCCGATTCTCCCGACCACTCTCGCCTGAGGAAACTCCTGAGTATATAAAAAATGTGCCGAGAGGAAAATTCGTGAACACAGACCGGGGATCGGCAACATTCCCGGAGATCAGCATAGACGATCTAGCGCTCGAGCTCTTCTCAAATGAGAGCGGTTGGTCGGCGGATAGAGAGAGAGAGGGACGTGGAGGCGGCTCGGAGATTAGGCGGTGGGCGAGCGATGCGGCCTCGTCGTCCAGGAGACGGGGGAGGTCGGTATCGAGGAGCTGCGAGAGTGATGTCAAGACTATTGTTTCGAATGGGATTTCGAGTAAGAATGTCAATTCTTCCAGGGACGGTTCTGGACGGAGGAGGTCGCTCTCGGTGGCTCGGTATCAGATTAGTGATTCTGAGGTGACTTTCCTTGTTCCTTTATTTTTCTTACTGGAATTTGTTTTATTAGCTTCATTATTTATCTTTAAAATTACTGTTTGGAACGTGAAAACTATTAATAGATATAAAAAAAATATTTGAGAAAATTAACATAAAGCACCTAATATTTGATAGCATAAAAATTTCTAAATATCCGTAATGATGGGAGCAAAAATTCATGGATT